TCGCTACCACTGCGCGATATATCGCTACCACTGCGCGATATATCGCTACCACTGCGCGATATATCGCTACCACTGCGCGATATATCGCTACCACTGCGCGATATATCGCTACCATTGTGTGATAATGGTATGAAAACAAAGTTGACTATGTAATAAGCATTCATGAACTCTAATAGATGCATAAATGTTTGTTATATACAGGAAATGATTTATTACAAAACTAACACTCACTCATGCGCTACACAATTAACTCGACTGCATTTAAACAGGTTACAGCAGCCAGCATGTGTTAAAATCTACGTTCTATGTTCTAAATGCGCATACATACCTGGAAGACAACACCTGTTACAACCACTCTGAATTGCAGAAGAAGATAGTACGTTGTAGGATCATACTCTGCCAAGTTCACAAACTGCAGGTTGTTGTACAGGCAGTAGAGAAACGCAGGAACAAAATATAGACAGAGCACTGCAATAAAAATACTTAAATTACAACCTCATGAACTAATTTAAATAATAAAGCATTTGAAAATCAATGATTGATAATTGCAAATTTATTACCACGACAGTAACATGTATGTAGTAGAAATGTAACTACGGCATGTGGGTAAGTCGGAAATCGTACAGTTACTATAGCTGAAGGGGTCGTTGTCGTATATGTAGTACCCGAGGTGTCCGCGAGTATGTCGCCTACGCCTACTCCCTAACCCTAACACCCTAACCCTAACCCTAACCATATCAGATAGTTACCTTGGGTACATATTATACGCCATTATACGACAACGACCCTTCGTGCGTTACTATATCACAACGTTGAAGGTTGTTGGCTGTTGGCATCACCTGACCTATATTTGCTTGATAATATCACACACTGACAGCTGACGTAGTTATAAAGCTTCCTATTAATATTATTTTGTAAATATACACATTACTCCCGACAATAATTCACACCTGCGACATTGGCACGCGGACGTGCATGTAAATTGTAGTCTCATGTTATTAGATTAGGTTGTTATGGCTTATTACGTTTATAAGGCAATGATTATACAAACATTAGCAAATGCACTGCACGCATGAATCAGGCACGAAGGGTCGTTGTCGTATAATGGCGTATAATATGTACCCGAGGTAACTATTTGATATGGTTAGAGTTAGGGTTAGGGTGTTAGGCTTAGGGTTAGGGTGTTAGGGTTAGGGAGTAGGCATAGGCGACATACTCGCCGACACCTCGAGTACTACATATACGACAACAACCCCTTCAGCATTAATCAGTGTATCATATATGAATGAATAGAAGTATCACACTCATGTGATTGTTAAATTCATAGTTTAGTATATTTCACACATACCTTTGGTGTTTTGCAGTACCTCACTTTTAATCTTCACTAGACCATTACTAGACAAAGTAAAAATATTAAATATATGCACCGCCAAATAAAATAACTCATGAAGTAACGGAAATAATTTAGAGCAAAATTTGCAGTAGTTTGAATCATATTATTACTAATACACTAAATGGTAGGAAATGAAGTCTACTTGCAGTCAGGTGTAATAGCTTTGTAAGTTACGTCTATCACATACCATGTATGTAAGATTAAATAATGGTTTTTAACAGAATTTGTTACAGTATCTTCTTTGTCATGGACAACCAAGAAGTAAGAATATACATACGTCAAGTATAATGTCTACTAATAACGAGCATTCGTGAGGCCTTATATGTATGAATCATAATTTTATTATAAGGAATTTAATTTAATTTATTATCTGATATTAGATCACTCACCCTTTTACATACAAAATTGTTGATATGATCAGTTTGAGGCATTCTGTCAGCAGCACAACTGTTGTCACATTGTAGTCATACGACTTATCCGAGTTCTTTGTTGACGTAACAAGAATTCCTAAAAAAATAAATCACTTCCATTTAGTATCCCCGTTATCAGCTAGCCACTAGCAACTTTTATGTTCATCACTGCATGTGATGAGACAGTGACAATCCTGTAACACTAACACTGGCTTTCAGCAGTGCACGATCGATGAATCAGAATTACATCAGCCTGCAAGCTTCTTATGTGTCACATATATGGGCAAATATAAATGCACGATGTTACAATAATCAACTTTTGCTAGATTTGATGCTTGCTGGCATAACTAGGAGGGAGGGAGCCACCTTTAAGGACTCATACTACTTGTTTTAAACTGCACCACCAACACACGTTCCACACGCGAACTCAATGTACCATTTGTAAACCCATAGCTTTGGTGCAGCAAAGACTAACGTAATGGGATCTAACGACAGCATCACGAGCATATATACACAATTAGTACCCATACATTAATGAACACCCCCCCCCCCTCCACAACTTTATTCGCCACTGTCATACGTGAGAAAAACACAAATTTTACATACCTTGGTTGATGAACAGAGCCATGTATAAGATAAAAACAACAAAACTCCATGTTGTAGGGAAGAGATCAGGTGAAAGCACCTTAAGCTGCTGAATAATGTTGTACTTGTTGCTATCCATGTTTCATATATCAATGGCAAGTGGCTGGATTTATGCATATGTCTAGGTAGGCAATTAAGATAGGGTTGCAGTATTGCATTCCAATCTTGAAGGCAAACTTGGTTCTTCTGGAATAAATACAATTTGATATGAATTAAATCGAATAAATAAGTTTAAGAAATAATTCTAGTATATGTAAAGAATTTAGGGTACTATACATAGCAAGCTCTGTATTCCAGAATTGAATTACAATTTCGATTAAGAAGTTTTACTGTTACTTGGAGCGTGGGGTTGCCTTGCGAGGGTGGACAGGACTTTCACTACTATTACTGTTATATGCCTTTCCATTCACCACATACATGTGGGTACGAGCGCGTATGTTTGGGCCGATCAGTGATCTGGATCACAAATTGCTGAACCTGCTGGCGAGATGGATTCGCAGGGGAGCCTTACCTGGATAACAGGAAACTGGGGTTGCATACTGGACTCGGAAAGGTGGCTTTAAAGGTTCCAGCGAGGGCCTGGGGAGTTGGGGCTCATTGGTTTCATTGCGAGGTATGGGAAGTGGATCACACCAGGCCTGGGATGGACGTTTAAGGTTACAAAGGTATACAGGACCTGCAGATCTGGGGTTCGGGTTTAAGCCCACACCGGCATGCCCGACATAGCTGGACTTTATTTGCACTTTTTCCCCTGCTCACTTATAGAATTGCGCTCTTTGTTTCTTCCCAAAATGTTTTTTTGTTTCTGTTTTCTTTTCAGTTGCATGAAATATTTAACTTCAACTGTGTCACTTACATGAAGTTTATATTTTAAGGCACGATTTGGTCGTTGTGCGGGTATTAGTCTGCTAGTATATATAATTCGGCTAAACAACTGTTTTTTTGAGACAGAGAGAGAGAGAAATCATGCGCCGATAGCACGCCTGTGTCGTCGATATCGCACAATCGTGGTAATGTGACGAAGCTAACGATTATTAAACAGCTACTAAAAACAACAGTGAAAATCGTTGGTGTGTGAAATCGAGCCGCTGAACACATATAAAACATTCTCCATACAGTTTGTATCTGATACCTTTGCATGCCTTTTATTTCTTCAATTTAAATATTGTTAATACGCAACAATTATAAGTAAACGATTAGGCCTATCCCATGCAATGTTACATCAGTAATTTAAAAGTATAACGATTTATATATTTAAAGTATATAATACATATAAAATAGATATGTTTGCAGAAAAAATGTAGTTACATATTTTTCTCTTAACAAAAAATACATTTAAAAAATTCAATTTTCCTTGTATCTGAATGCGCAAAGATTTCATAATTTGCACGCATAATACACAACCTAAAATATAAAACTAGCGTGATTGTCCTAAACCTTGTAACCTGATTGAGTGTAATCATAGATAATAAATACATTAGTATAAAATCGCCGTCTTTAGTTGGCAAGTGATTGTATATCATAGATTCTTGTTTAACACGGCCTCTTCATCGAATACCCACAACCAGGTTTTGATCATATCTTTCACATACGCACAATTACGCACAATCACATTAACAACAGAGTATACATAACATAATATCAGGAGTGAATAATAATAGATCTACGTATTATTATTCACTCCTGATAATATAAACATGATATACCCAAAAATGGGTAATGTATGTAAAAAACGGAGCAAATCTAAAGATCACGTTACAATCCACCCAAGGCTTCGTATAATTATCTAGCATATAACCATGCATATATGCAAACCAAGATATGTCAATAAACAATCACTTCGCGAAAGATAAGAGAACTCTTCTTCCAATGAGAGGATTCTCTGTCTTGGTAATATAAAGATTTCCCATCTGATTTCCCATATATACAACACTTATAATGTAATTAACACATACAATGTTCATTAATAACACGAAGATACTGAATAGATATCGCAGCAACCGAATAGTATTTGTTACGCTCCCAGAGTTAATGACGGTTTCCCTTCAGATCACGTATTAAAGGTGTTTCCCGTGCTGCCAGCTGCCTCAATATTACTATCAGATTTACTACTAACAAGACCTTCATTAAGCTTTCCTAAGTTAACAACAGGATTCTGACAGTATACAAATATTGCCATGGATACGATACCGATAGCAATAATGGTGTACGCATCAACGGGGATGTCAAATATAATCCAGCACAGCACTGCAGTGAACATGATCTCCATTGCACTCGCAAACGTCTTCAATATCGAGTTGAGATTTTTGAGAAAAAAACTCGTAACGATTCCTATGCCGGCCATGTTGAATATTATACAAATGACCTTGACCTGGAAAAGAAAAGACGATTTCTGTTAACGGACCGTCACCCGATGGCCTGTTGACAAGAATTGATCGGTTGTGCGCAAAGATTATAAATATGCGAGTTAGACCTATACTGAATGAGTGAGTATAATGACTTAAACATGAGGATAATCATCTACCCAGGAACATTGCTAGACTGCATATACGCAGGTGTTCAACCGCATAACCATGACTCCCACATAGACAGCACTCGAATATATAAGAAACAAAAGGAAACCCTAAGTGTCGTTATGTTGTGAACTGTAGTCCTTACATGAGAAATACAGAAACAGGCAATGCAGGTCTTACATGCACACAGAAACACACTAGGTTTCAACGCACAGAAATTCACTAGGTTTCAACGCACAGAAATTCACTAGGTTTCAACG